AATCCCATACTGCATGTGCCTCGGGTCTTACCCTGGTGGCTGAGACAGGCCACCCCAACACTTGGTGGCACACCAGCATCAGCCTTGGCAGGATATATCTCCCCAGACTTATCCAACGGCTGTGAACATTTAAAACTAACATGAATCTCTATAAATGTCCAATTTTAGGGTTTTACACAGAATTAAACCAAACAACATGAATCAAACATGCACTTTATTTATTTCCATTGTCGTGGGCTGCACCTCGGCAGTAGGGAAGACCTCGGTTCGTGAACTAGAACGAGAAGAACAGAATTCTCCGAAGCGACCAAGGCTCGAAGACCCCATATTCTTTACAAAAGACGATGCGCGTGGGATTCAATAACCCCATGATGATGCGCTAGTCATAAAGATGAGGATCAACGATTTTGAAGTTAAGCGTGTCCTAGTGGATTCAGGGAGCTCGACTGACATCTTATTCAAGGACGCCTTCGACAAGCTCCAGCTTCAAGAAAGCGACATCAAACCCACAAGTACTCCTTTGGTAGGCTTCAGCGGAGAAAAAGGCAGGCCCCTGGGGCAAATTTTAGTACCTGTGGAGGTCGGCACGTGGCCTAATATCGCGAGATTCGAGCACACTTTCCTAGTGGTCGCGACTCCCTCCCCGTACAATGCCATTGTAGGTTGGCCCATCACCCACGCACTTCACGCAGTGGTATCCAACTACTATTTGGCTATGAAGTTCCCCACGGACTTCGGAGTAGGGGTAGCGCGAGGCGATCAGCTCGAGTCTCGCAAATGCTATGTCGTCGCCCTCAAAGGGAAAGCCAAGTTAGCGGATGACCTCGAGCTGGAGCAACCTATGGAGTACACCGAGGAGCGAGCTACACCGATAGAAGAAATAATCCACGCCCCTATTTCAACAGAAGATCCAGCTAGAACTCTCCAAATCAGTGCATCGGTCGAGGAACCTCTCCATTCTCAGCTGGTAAGTTTTTTTATTAAAAATTTAGATATATTCGCATGGTCCGCGACAGAGATGCCCGGTATAGATGCAAAGATAATAACTCATAAGTTAAATATTGATCCTATAGTCAGGCTCGTTAGATAGAAGAAACGCAACCTCGCCCCGAAGCGCTGGAGGATAGTCGACGAGGAGGTCAAGAAGCTCCTCGCAGTCGATTTCATCAGGGAGGTCCGTTACCCGAGCTGGGTAGCTAACCCCGTTCTGGTAAAAAAGGCCAATGATAAATGGCGCATGTGCATCGATTATACCGACCTAAATCAGGCTTGCCCGAAGGATTGTTTCCCACTCCCTAAGATCGACCGTCTAGTGGACGCGACCTCAGGGCACGAGTTGCTGAGTTTCTTGGACGCGTACTCAGGATATAACCATATCAAGATGGACCTTGCCGATGAGGAAAAAATGGCATTCATAACCGAACTAGGATTGTACTGTTACAAGGTCATGCCCTTTGGACTAAAAAATGCAGGGGCGACCTTCCAAAGACTTGTAAACAGAATCTTTGAGCCGTTGATCGGCAACAAGGTTGAGTGCTATGTAGACGACGTGGTCGTCATAACCCAATTTTCAAATTGTTTAATAAATGATTTACATTGTGTCTTTGAAATTTTTCGCAAGTATAATATGAAGTTAAACCCTAACAAGTGTGTCTTCGGTGTCACCTCGGGTAAATTCCTGGGTTACATAGTTAACCGA